ACGTGACCAGGGCTTAAAGGATTCAGAGTTGAGCCGTCACTTGATCAGGTTTCTATTTCCGAAAGCTGATTCTGACGGTTCTGATGCGGGAGAGCCCAGGGGTTGAGCGTCTAAGCAGTGAACTCCGTTCTCAGCCTGAGGGTTTCTTCTTCAGAATAGGGTTGCAGTCTAGTCCAGGGGCTCTACAGTGTCTGGGGTACAGGAAATGCAGGCCATTTCTGTTCCCTCCGCTCTTCCCCTACCCAAGCCTCCTGAAATTGAAGGAGAAAGCTTTGTGATCGTCCTGTAAGAAGGTGTGGCAAAGAAGTGAAAATAGTTTCCCCAAGGCAAAATCATGCTAAATGTTGGAGAAGAGGCAAACAGGGCTACTGCCTCTCTCCGTGCTGGTGATTGGGAATGCTCTGTCGCTCCCAGGAGTCTCTGACAATGACTCTGCCTGAGCCCCCAAAGTGTCAGCGTCTCCTGCAGCTTAAGGAAAGCAGATCATCTTCCCGTCTATCTCATAAAATCTGATCGTTTAAGCTCCTCCTCTGAAGTTTGACTTGCCCAGAATGACTTAATGACTTTCCTTTTCCTCTGCCCTTACTTCTCTGCTGTTTTTTTTAAAGTTTATATTACACATTTTTCACTTAACTTTTCCCTATGTCCTTTCTCTGAACTTCTATCACTTATTGTCCAAATGCTTAAATATTTTTTTTGTCATTTATCATTTTGTAATCTCAGGATGTAGTGCAGTAACTCAAACATAACAATGAGCAATATATATGGAAAACAAAAAGGTATATGAGATCAGAAAAAAAATGATGAACGGTCTTGAGGTTTGGCCCAATTGCTTTTTGAGGCAAAAGCCTACTTAATTTCTGAATCTTTTTATGTGAAGATTTTCTGTGTGAACGTTGAGAATCAATGTCCTAACAATAGGCTCTCAATAGTAAATATATGACTGACAGATATAAACAATCACCGACAGTAATAGCATTAGAGGTTATAGCATTAGAGGTTTCGTTCAGAATTGGAGACTAAATTTATGTCATGTGCCAAATTTATCAACATTAAACTGGGAATATTTTTATTAAAAACTATGGTAAAGAGAAATCTGACTTCTTCATTTTAGAAAAGAATTGTGTCATTCATAAATACACTTGATGTTTAAGATAGAACACTGAGCCAGATTTTTAATTTGAAGACATACATTTAAATCATCACAAAAAATTTTAAAGAACATTTTAAGTAACTCTTAGAAATAACTACACACATTTCCTCTTGACACACACCTTCAAGGCCTTCATAGGAAACATTACAAACATTTGAATAGCTGATGAAGCCAGCGAGACTGGATCAAGAGAGACAAAGTTAGAAATGTAGGCAGAGATATAATCAGACCTAACAGCCCTCCAGGCTCTATGAAACATTTTAATGTTCTTAATTAATATTTTATGGTTGACATGAGTTTTTTCTGATATCTGACATTTAATATGTATATAATCTTATGAAAGCTTATTAACCCATATAAGCCTCATTGTTATTAGGGTTTTGAGAAGATTGAATGAGATTATGTATATTATCTAAGTAAAATACTTGTCATAGAACATTCAGTAAATGTGTACTGCTAAGCTTGTAAATATATTGTTTGGTGCCCCATTGGGACAGAAGGAATGGGGGACGTTGACGGCAAAGGAGAGTAACTTGTACTCATTGTGAGTGAATACAGCGCATTCTGATTACTTGAGAATGTCTTTGCCCCCAGGCCTGGTGGGAGTTCATTACACAATCTGCCCTCTTTGTTGCTTGGAAGGGAGCCTAGCACGCACTCCACGCAGGGCCTGACGCCTTTCCTCCAGAGAGCCAGTACCGCGGACGGCCCTGTGCTCCAGTGGTAGGTCTTCCTCGGCCACGTGGGACTGGCTCGGCACCTCCTGTGGGAATTCACCCGGAGTCCTTCCCCCGCTCACTAAACTGCAATCTCCAGCAGAGCCTTCTTTACCAGCGATAGGCCGATGTTTACGTCATCATATGCTGCTCATTTTTATTTCTTAATTTGTTCAGAACAAAGAACAAGGGACACTATTTACTGGCCGGCTGGAGGCCTCTGCGCCTAGTGAAGGATAAATGTTCACTCAATTTCTGCTGAATGAATGGAGATAACACTTAATCGAACTCAATACGTGAAAGGAAAATTTAATTAGCCTCAATGTCTCATAAGCACAGCTATACTTAAAAAAAAAATTCTGGGCTTGCAAAGGCTGTTGGTTTAATAAATCATTTGCCAGGGAATGAGTTTTGTGAATACTTATCTCTTCAATATTACGTAGCAGGTATATTAGGTAGTAAAATAATGGACCACGCTGACTCACTGGCTAAAAGAGCAGCTAATCCAGAGGTTTTAAATGATTATAATTATAATTATGATTATAAGTGTGAGCAACTAGAAAAATCTGTATGTTGGGTGAGAAAAGAGAAAAATGATGCCAATTTCAGCATAAACCAATTGTAGGGTAATCTGTTTCATATACTATCATAAACTCTTTTGTGGCTCACCAACCCGTGAGATCCCTTTGCAGTCCTACCTGCATTGCTTATATTTATTTTTAAGATAATCTGAATGTTCATTTTATTTTCATGGTTGAGAACTTGGGGGGCTCTTTCTTTTCACCCATAACTATTATTCACAGTTAGAATGTGTGTGGGCAGAGCACATACTTTTGCACAGAGACAACTTTGTGTCACATGAACACTTCGAGGAAGGTTAAAAGCAACCTGAAGTATTGCTTTTACTTTAGGCACAAATTTAAAAATTCAGTTACTTACTTCTTTAACACATTAAATTTTGCATCTTTCTTTTGAGACAATAAAAGAGGAGTGCTGGGTGAGGAAAACTGTAGCACAGAGAAGGCACATAGTGACTCTGTGCCATCTTATGACACTGATGGGCAGTGACTGCATTGGGGTGTGGGTGGGGACTTGATAATATGGGTAAATGTAATAACCACATTGTTTTTTCATGTAAAACCTTCATAAGAGTGCATATCAACAATACCTTAATAAAAAATTAAAAATATATAAAATAAAAAAATAAAAGAGGGGTGCTAGGCTGATACTAAGATTTAAGAAAATACCATTCACCTGAACTGTATTCCACACTTAGGACATCAGACTCACATTTTCATATACAACTAAGTAAGCATGAACATTTCCTGAGATTATTATTATTTCCTTAATACTCAGCCTAACTCTGAGGTGTGCTCCAGCGATTCCATGTTGGTCTTCTCACTTTCATCGGCTTTCTGTTCATCAGTACACACACCACACACACACACACACACACACACACACACACTCTCTCTCTCTCTCTCTCTCTCTCTCTCTCTCTCTCTCTCTCTCCCACAGATGTTCTCGGGACTGATGATGCACAGCTCCTCCTTTTCATTATCTGCTTCCCTGGAATCTGCACAGTTGCTTCTGGTACTTAGCATCAGAGATCTTTGTTGCTTTTTTAATCTAAAAGAAGGAGGAAAAATGTGACTAACAGACACATAACTAAATCTAGAATAAACCAAAAAGCTCTAAGAATACTTTGCAGTTATAGAAGTAAATACTATTGGAGTAAGGATTATGTTTCTGGCAAATGCTTTCAATCATGTACATTAGTAGACAACTGACCATTGGAAAATTTCCTCCCACTGCCAACATGTCAGTTACTGTCTGTTTAATCAAAAAAGTCCGTGGCTTCTGCTCATGCAGGCTGACTGGGTGTCATTTTTATCTCCCTCCATGCTCACCCATTTCCCTTACCATCATTTCACAGAAGTGACACTCACCAAAGGTAATCATGTTAAACTCACAAGAGAGTTTTGTGGCTTAAATTATTTAAATTCTCCAGAACTATTGTATCGCCAACTTCCCAGTGTTTCGAGTGGCTCCACCTTCGAGTGCGTCTCAAGGAATGTTTGCCTCACAATGCAGCTCCTTGAGTTCAGTCGCTCACGTCACCACAGAGAGGACCATGCCGTGACGTGGATGCTGTGTGGTGCGTAGCAGTGCTTCCTTGTTAGCAGGCCCCCCAGCCGGCTCCCAGGACGGGCCCTGAAATGCATGTGGAGTCGGGCTAGGGCCATCAGGGGTGACCCTTGTTTCTGTTGCAATTGTTGGTTTTGTTCATCCATTAACTAGATTTAGGCTCAGACTCTGTGTGGTCCCCGGGCTCCAGCAGGCCCTCAATGGTTTTCTCACATGATGTGGACAAATTCTAAAACCAAGCCTTGTTTGTCTGTCTTGCCCGAGTAGACATGTTGAACATCCTAAAACCACAAACTGCAGTGTCCCTACAGCGGACTCTGACTATCCCTCCGTCCTTTCCTTCACTGTCACCGTGTAGGCCTGTGTGTAGGCAAATGACCCGTACCTATTTCTTGTAAATTTATTAATTTTTCTAGGCTGTTTGCGATTCCAGGACATGTACTTTCTTTGCCCAACACTTAGTCAGTGACTAACATGGAATAGTTGCCCCAAAAATGTCTAGGAAAAGAATGAGAAGCCTCATTTTGGTTCACAATTTAACTATGTAACCTATTTTAATTTAGAAAAATAGATAAAAGGTTCTCTGAAACTACTGATGTAAAAAATCTATCAGATTTATTAGAATTTATGCATGTTTTATAGTAATGCATTCTAAAAAATGAGTAGAGCTGATTTGCAGAGTAAATTACAGTGGCCCTAAAAGACTGGACTTCACGTGTTCCATAATTCAATACAAATCATAGTTAATAGTGTCTAATTAAAACATCTTGGAAAGTCATCAAAGACTGTCCTAGAAACCTTCATGAATGCTTCAGTTTGTGTTTCCATGAATATTTTAACTGGCCCAAATCAATTGCATATGCTGGTATGGAAATTCATTTCAAGCCATCAGAGCTCAGCTTGCAAAGCTAAGTAGTAGCTTTATTCTTCTATTTTCAAAATTGCATGTATACCAAAACACTGTATTTTTAATTACTGAGCAGGGGCTGCAAAGCACAGATAGCAGAATTCCTGACACAAGCTGATGCCAGTCCAAGAAGGGGACGTGAAATGCCTGGGGGTAAGTCTTTTTGCAGAGAAGGGTTTTATAGTTACATCTTCATATTTACAGCTGGCAGAGATGAATAGTAAATAACCGTCAACCTGGCTGTTCTGTCTAGGATGGAAAAGCTCCACTATGGATGCAAAATGCCATATGTCTTTCAATATTAAGGTACTATTAGGACATTAGGAAAGTGATTAAGGGACAGCCACACAGTGGCCAGGTGTATATGGCATATGGCACATTTCCTGCCTAACTGTGCATCTCAATGTACTTGTCAGCTAAAAACACAAATAAATTTTTATTGCTACTTGTGAAGGTACAAATATGGATTTGTTGTTTACGTAAACTCTAAATAATGTAATGAATGTTTTATTACATATTTTATTACTGATTATCATCATAAAATTACTTTAGGGATATGAATAGAAAGATATCTATAAATTTAAAAACTTTCAAAAAAATCAAAACAGCCAATATTTATTAAAAATTTTCTGAATGTTAGTTACCATTTTAATTTCTTTAAATGGATAAGCATACTTAATTTTCACAAGTGTCATTATTTTCCTGTTTTTACGGAGTAAAAAGCTAAAGTTAGCAATGTGCCCATTGTTTCATTTAATAAGTGGAAGAATTGAGATTCATTTCCAGATGTTCTTCATTATAGAGGCGGCATAAACCCTGCGGTACCATCCGCAATTTAAATGTTACAGGTATTTCTTTACATCATAACGTCCCTGAAAACGAAATGCACTATGTATATTGGTTTTGTACTATCTGTCTGGTAACCAAAATAAGAAGAGAGTTAAAGATAAGATGCTCTTCAGGGTGGTTTATAAGACATCAACAAATTCTTTGGTACTTTCCCTTCAAGAGATGAAGATTAATTTCTCTATCCTTAGGTGTGGAATGTACTTCAATACTTAGATTTATTAAGCAGAAGCAGCAGAAGTGATAGTACGCGCTATCGGAAATTAGGTTATAAATAGGCTGCGGCTTCCACCTTGAAAGCACTCTCTCTCTCTCTCTCATTCTCTCTCTCAGACACAACTAGCAGGAAGCACGTGTGATCTGCAGGGGAGGTCTCCATGCCAAGAAATGGAAGCATCTTGCTCATGGCCACATAATGGGGCTCAGAGCAGCATTTCACTAGCAGAACCGACTGCGGCTCAGACTTACAGTTGGACCGTGACGTCAGGAGTGCTCCTGAGACAGAACCACTCAGATAATCTCCGTCTAGATTCCTCAGCCTCATAACCTGAGTGGATTTAATACATGTTTGATTTCTTGACTATGTTAACATTTGAGGCAATTCTTACACAGCAGTGTTCAATAATATGTTCTATAGGCATTTGAGATTCACCACAACATAAATAAGTTCATGATTGAATGAATGTATTTTATGAATGAATGCACTCCTTTATGAGTACAACAAACTACTCTCTCTCTATACTCGAAATACCTGTATGTGTATATATATATGTGTATATATATATATAGTATATATAGTATTCTGAAACTCTTTCTATATATGTATATATATATATAGTGGTTTTCTGTACTCATAAAATGTACATATGTGTGTGTTTATATATATAATACATTTGAATATATTTGCTCTCTATATAATTTATTTTAATCACATTAAATATATAAAGTACATAGTGTCAGATTATCTCAAAGGCTAAGCAATGTTTCCCAGCATGGCTTATATTATCCTATGTACTTGAAAATGATAAAGTCAAATTTCTTGAAAGTGGTCTTTCAATTCTGTTTAAAAAAATGGGATCTGTTGATCTGTCACAGACATCAATTGTATTTTTATATTTCAGAAGACACAAGAAGAATTTGGGAAATTCTTGTTCTGGATTTAATTTTGACTAATAAGGTTGACTAACTTATTGATTATGTAACTTACTTGACTCACTGATTGATGACACGAACCAGTGAATCAGTGAATCCATGGGAGGCTCTATGTGATGGACTGAACTGCATTCCCTCAAGGTCCCTCTGTTGCAGCTCTAATCCCCAGGGTGATGGTATTTGGAGGTGGGGCCTTTGGGAGAAGGTTAGGTTTAGATGAAATCATGAAGGTGGGTCCTCATGATGGGATTAATACCCTTATAGGAAGAGAAACTAGAAGGCCTTCCCTCTCTCTCTCTCAATGTCTCCCCCTTTCTCTCCTCCCTAAGCCCCCCTCATTCATAGTGAGGAGAAAGCAGAAGGAGGCCCTCGCAAGCCAGGAAAAGAGCCTCACCTGACCCCAGCCAGGGGTCTGACCTCAGACTTCCAGGCCCCTGAACTGTGAGAAAATAAATTCTGTTAAGGCTGCGGCTTCCACCTTGAAAGCACTCTCTCTCTCTCTCTCATTCTCTCTCTCAGACACAACTAGCAGGAAGCACGTGTGATCTGCAGGGGAGGTCTCCATGCCAAGAAATGGAAGCATCTTGCTCATGGCCACATAATAGGGCTCAGAGCAGCATTTCACTAGCAGAACCGACTGCGGCTCAGACTTACAGTTGGACCGTGACGTCAGGAGTGCTCCTGAGACAGAACCACTCAGATAATCTCCGTCTAGATTCCTCAGCCTCATAACCTGAGTGGATTTAATACATGTTTGATTTCTTGACTATGTTAACATTTGAGGCAATTCTTACACAGCAGTGTTCAATAATATGTTCTATAGGCATTTGAGATTCACCACAACATAAATAAGTTCATGATTGAATGAATGTATTTTATGAATGAATGCACTCCTTTATGAGTACAACAAACTACTCTCTCTCTATACTCGAAATACCTGTATGTGTATATATATATGTGTATATATATATATAGTATATATAGTATTCTGAAACTCTTTCTATATATGTATATATATATATAGTGGTTTTCTGTACTCATAAAATGTACATATGTGTGTGTTTATATATATAATACATTTGAATATATTTGCTCTCTATATAATTTATTTTAATCACATTAAATATATAAAGTACATAGTGTCAGATTATCTCAAAGGCTAAGCAATGTTTCCCAGCATGGCTTATATTATCCTATGTACTTGAAAATGATAAAGTCAAATTTCTTGAAAGTGGTCTTTCAATTCTGTTTAAAAAAATGGGATCTGTTGATCTGTCACAGACATCAATTGTATTTTTATATTTCAGAAGACACAAGAAGAATTTGGGAAATTCTTGTTCTGGATTTAATTTTGACTAATAAGGTTGACTAACTTATTGATTATGTAACTTACTTGACTCACTGATTGATGACACGAACCAGTGAATCAGTGAATCCATGGGAGGCTCTATGTGATGGACTGAACTGCATTCCCTCAAGGTCCCTCTGTTGCAGCTCTAATCCCCAGGGTGATGGTATTTGGAGGTGGGGCCTTCAGGAGAAGGTTAGGTTTAGATGAAATCATGAAGGTGGGTCCTCATGATGGGATTAGTGCCCTTATAAGAAGAGAAACTAGAAGGCCTTCCCTCTCTCTCTCTCAATGTCTCCCCCTTTCTCTCCTCCCTAAGCCCCCCTCATTCATAGTGAGGAGAAAGCAGAAGGAGGCCCTCGCAAGCCAGGAAAAGAGCCTCACCTGACCCCAGCCAGGCGGCGCCTGGACCTCAGACTTCCAGGCCCCTGAACTGTGAGAAAATAAATTCTGTTCTTGAAGCTCCTGAGTCTGTGGTGTTCTGTTACGGCAGCCTGAGCTGACTAAGATACTCTAAGCATGATTGTCGACACATAGTAAACTTTAAGAGTTGTTAGCTATTGTTGCTCTTAACAGTAGGAGCAGTACGAGTAGAATTAATAGTGGAAGTATATCATTATTTTTGTATATTTTTCCTTTACGAATGGAGCAAGTTCTGGCAAAAAAAAAAAAAAAGAAAGGAGATGTCAAATGAGTTATATCCTCTATCTCTCTCTCAGTTTTATTCCAAGTTTCTTAGTGCCGATTTACACATTTTCCTAACACCGCAGTCCCACAGGACTTGCTCCGTCCCTTCCTCTGGGATCTTTGTTTACATATAATATCATAGGAGAAGCTCAGGAAAGAAAACACCTATACTGCCCCCCAACCAGCACACACACCCTGTTTCCCTTAATTTGTTTTGTTCCCTCTACAGAACTGACGGCCATATGAAATACACTTATCTGTGTGTATTTTATGCCATCCCTCACTGGTATGCAAATCTGGGAGAACTGAGACTGTTTCTCATTTGTGCACTGCCCCTCAATGTCTAGAATATGCATAGTCTGCATGACCACTTTTTGAATTAATAACATACCTGGAACATCTTTAAAATTCAGAACAATCTAGATCTACTTCATTCATTTTTAGTGGGTTTCCATTTTATGTATAGTTATTTATTAATCTACTCCCATCTGGTGGCAATAGTGATTTAAATCTGGTGATCTAAATGCACAAATATCAAACTCTCTAACCACATGTCACCCAGAAAGATTCCAAGAGGCATTATCTGTAAGGGCATGAGATAGAGATGATGTAAATCAAGAGAGCATGCCTTTGTGAAATACAAGAAAAAACACTGTGCCTTGTGTTTTATTATACATGTGCAGACCGTTAGTACAGGTGTGTGTTGCTATGAACATTTTCCATATACGTGGTTCCTTGATTTAAATACTCAGGGAAATTACGACTACTATTATATGTTGTTATCGTTTGGTAATGTAGAGGGCTCAGATGCTACCTGACAGAAGGAGAAAGGACTTCCAAGGATAGCATCTGTCTCATTGGCAAAACCTACCCTGCCTTTGAACTTAGCCTTGGAATTACCATTGGGTTTGGCACTTCTGAGATAGACTGACCTGCTGAATCCTTTTTTTTAATTTTTTAATTTAAAGAAACCATTCACTTGCAGGTCAGGTTCACATTCTGACAAATGTAATTGTGTCTTGAAAAAGGTAAGTTGGACTTCTTTACATTCTTCTGCATCCCACCATAGAATCAAACCAGTTATCTGATATATGGTAATTGGAAAAAGACAGACAACAGTTGCCATATCCTTTGCATAGAAATGTGCTGTGTGGGCCTGGCGCCACTCACCCTCCCACCTGGAAGCTCTCTCCAGCTCACATGTTCCCTTTCCTAATTGGAACTCAGACATGCCGACCGCTTCCTTGCTGTGAGATTGCCTCTTTCTCTCTTAGTAGCATGGACATCTGCATGTTACTTTATTATAAATAAAATCTTGGATCTCTTACTAAATAGGGTCTTTCTGACAAGGAAATTGCATACCTGTTTAGCAACATATCATCTCATTATTCTAGGTATCTTTCTTAATAATATACCCCTGTGAATATTTATTGACATTTGATTTTTTTTTTCTAATGACAAAATCAAACCACAGGAAGGAGCTTTATATTCATCTTAGTATACTTAAATGGACATTCGTAAACTTGGAACAAGTCAGATGTTAGAATAGAAAAACAGCAATACGTAGCATTAGTTTTCTTGGGTCCTTGAAGGTATATAGAGGTAAAAAATAAATAGAGAACAGTGGTTAAAAACAAAAGTGTACAAGCACATTGTAGCTCATCAGTATTAAGTAAAAGCATTCAAGGAATGTTGACATATTAGAAAATCTGAATTCTGGTTCAATCAAGGCACAATAAAAAAAGGACTTGGTATAACCTCAAAACTCAGTCTTTGTAGCTCATGTCTAAGTCTGATGTAGTTGAATAGATGGGTTGGACTAGAGGCTCTTTGCTCAAGAGGCAATTGCATAACAACATGAAGACATCAATATGGCAAGTGACATAATTTACATGTGGATCCTAAGTTCTTTTTGATGAGATCTTAGTCATTAGTTGCTTCAATATTGGGTCACATGTCTTCTGAAAATCAGTGTATACACTTCCACTAAGATGAATACTCAAGAAAAGTGATCCCAAATCTAATTAGAAGTCCACAAGCTTAAGAACGAAGTATTACCTTTGGAAAGTACACCTTTCCTCCATTTTTTTAATCCAACTCTAATAGGGGGTACATAGTCTTGATCTGTTTTGAGAAGAGGTGACTATATTTCAACTGCTACCTCATGAGTTTTGGGGCAGAAATAAGTGGAGAGGAAGCCTGGGCACACATTTCAGAACTGGTTTGAGAAGCACAGATCTATAAGGTACAGTTCAAACCATATGCAAAGGAAGGTAACACCTGTCTAGTTGGATATCCAGTCTAATGAAACTTGCTTTCCATTTAGTGACTTGTGATAGATAGCTCTAGAGTCATTGTACTGTGATGCAGAAAATGACACACTTTTAAATGGGTTAATGATCAGTATTAATGGTAAAACTCATTGAAAACAAGCCAACTTCTATAAGTATAACTGACCA